GCTGAATCAGTAAGGAAAAAAAAGATACTGAAAACTTGGAACAATAAATTTTAAATTTTCTTCTAAAATCTGAAAAACGAAAAATATACTCAATTATTATAATGATGAAATTAAGATTAGCATGCAATTACTACTACTTCCCTATCTGTGACTAGTAGCACATTTCATAGCTATAAAACAGCAAGTTTTGTTTTAAAGCATGGGGAAAAGTATTATGCACTCCTGAGAGAAAATTAAGAAACTTGAAAGCCATACCACAGTATGCTTGCAACAAACCAGAAAACTGAAATTATGCCCATGGCTTTAGTCAGCGTGGAGCACTATCCTGTTTCTAAGTGAGTAGCAAAAGAATAAGCTGAAACAGCTTCTACCTAAACCAACAAAAAGCTTTAATGTAACCTTAGCAAGAGCTGTGTGACTGAACCAATACGTATCAAAAAAAGTCCTTGTTGTTTCTCTTTTAAAAATCCACAGAAATGAGAACAAAGCACCTAAATGGTAGAAAATTACCCAAGAATGGTAATTTTTCTACAAATCATATTTTGAATCCAAACTATCTAAATTACTTCTTAAAATGATGCAGCAAGGGAAATAAGAAGCAACACGCTTACATCTCTTGAATGTTTCGTTCAAATTGTCATGCATTGCCTGCTCACACTTGGGAAGAACATGCTCATTCGTTTCAAAGATTGTGCTCTTTAGGTTTTCAAGTACTCGCAGTTCTCGGAGGCCACGTTTTTCCTGCCAGAAAAATGAAACAAAATGAGTGGCTAATAAGGAATCCCACTTTACAAAATAAAGATGGTTTCCCAGTTGATAAACTAATAGCTTCACCTCAAAGACTATACTATTGTCTATGAAAGTGTTACTCGTTTAGCACAATTGATAAAATGGTTTTGTGAAAAAAAATAAAAGAGAGCAATGTTCCATTCTTCACACTAAAACACAGGAATCCTTTGAATGATCCTTCTGGCCCTTAAGAGAAAAGTCAGTATTAATTAGTTAAAACACTGTGTGGAAAATGTGCTGGTTTGTATAGATTATTTACAGTATATCAAAACCAACAGAGAGCAACAGAGCTTGAAAGCATTGCTTTTTTGTAACTCAGTTGTTATGAAGAAATAACATAGAAGTGATTCTGCTTGCCTGATGTCTGACCTTCCACATTAGCATGGTATGAGATTCAAACAATGCAAGTAAAATTGTTTTAACTGAAGTAAAGCAAAGAAGTCAAGGCTAAAAAACAATATAACGCAGCTGACTAAAGAGGCAGCCCTTCTGGTTCACTGCTGATCATGATTAATTACAAGAAAAACAAGCTCTTGCTTTACTGTTTATATTTTAATAAACAATCTATTTTTCTGAAGACACAGCACTACTTTCACTCTCAATTTCACCAGCACTTTCCTTTAGACATAACTCGAGATAAGCAGAAAACACTGCATCACATGAAGTGAGCAATTGAATCACACACCTGTTTTAAAGCCTCAGAAACAGAGGCAAGTAAAGCCACTAAATTAAACAGGCTCCAGACTTCCAGAATGCAAATCTTTATGCTTTACACACTAGATACTAATCATCGAAAGAAAAGGTTTTAGCAATGTCCTACTACAACTGAAAAATAACCTGATCTCTCAAAGTTAGAAACAAGTGTAATTTTTGGAAGAAAACCTAAACTGCAAAACTTTAAACAATCCTCTGCTTTGCTGTTTTCCCCCATATAAGTATAAAGCAGTAATTAAACTTCAATGTAAGATCTAAGAATACACTACCTTTGTCTAAAAAATAGAACAAGACTTCAGGTGCAGTAAGAGAAATATAGGAATTATAAAGATATGAGTTCAAGTTTTGTCGTCGAGTTTAAAATATTCCTTCCTGTGCAATGCCATGTAAAACTATTTACTCTATCCTGTTGCTTATTTAGGGAAGGCAGAGAAAAGAAATAATTCCTTATGACTCTCAAGTCCATACAATACAGATCTGATAAGAGTTTAGTTCATACATGTATTTTTCCTAAACAAGTAGAGACAAAATAGACCTGCTTGAAATATAAGCCACAATCTGGAGTGCTGGGGGAAGGGCATTTTAATGTCATTAAAATCAGGTCTGCATACTGGAAGTTTGAAGTTGCATTTTAGGGTCTAATTGTAGTATTTTAAATTCCACAACCTGTAAGAATGAAAATCTACTGAGAAACAGCCTCGTGTTGATGTGAGATTCTACTTTTCTAAACGTTTGCTGCCATCTTGTGGAAATCAAGTTACACTTTCCAAGCAGAACCGTATATAAATACTTTTACACCATCAGTACTTTAGCCTTATTTACAGCCCAATCACGTAACAGCCATTCAATTTTTGGTGACTTTCTTACTCTGCATAAAGCATTGCTCTTCTCTTCCAGTAATATTACTTTATTTTGTATAATAAAAATAAAATGACAACTGTGGTAGCTTAATCCAGCTGAGGCACAAAGCAATTTCTCAATCAGATCTAAACCTCAGATGTAAACCTATATTGGCCAAAAACACTTTCCTTGAACCAACTGGACTTCTCTAAGATGTTAGGACTGCATCATTCGCCTACATCAATATTAGTGCCAGTTTTTTTGCAGGAAAAATATTCATTGCCCTTTCAAAACTTTTAAATGAAAAAGAGCTGAATTACTGCCTTGTTTACTAAAGATATAGACGTATACTACAGGTGTGTTATTTTGGGCAAGAAATACATGTCAAGTCCTTCTGAAGAAAGTTATGTACATACTATGATATCTAAATAGATGCTGAAACTGATTAAAGTATCAGACTCTGACAGCAACCAATAAGATAAAAATACTTACTTCAAATTCTTTAACAAAGTATCGTATTTCTCCCTGAATTACTGGTCTGTGATCCAGGAGTCTTGAATAGATTTCCCCAACATCTAGAAGATTAATGAAAGTCAGCATTTTAGTTTTTCTCTCACTCCCATACCAGGCTGCACAACACTGGGAGCACACCATTCCCCAAAGCTAAGGGCTACTGCTCACCAAGGATTTGTTGGGCAACCTATGTATTCAGCCAACTTAGGTAAAATGCAATGAACCAGTATTCCAGAAGCCACAGACACCTTTCTGTGAAGGTGAACGCTCTCCTCTGCATCTCAGCACCCTTTGTTTCAATCCTCTTTATCCTCAGTACAGCTTCTATATCTGTTAATGGTGGTAAAAGAACAGAACTAAACGCTGCAGCTTAAAAGAGATTCACAGCTTAAGACGTGGGAGTTTTCTGCAGCATGAGACAAGGGGAATCCTCACTACAAAGGAAAGCTGTTAGCATTTTCTTGTATTTCAGGGCCAAAGACTTGAAATTGCGTCTTGAAAGAATCTTCACAACATATTTATGTGAGGAAAACATGATCGTCTGTCACAGAGAGACAAAAACCTGTTAAGTTGAAAGGCACTGTGAAAGCATAGCAAATAGACTATTGCAAGAAATATATAGCGCAGTTCTAACAAGGGTTTTGAGCCATCTAAAGGAAGACTCCTACGTTTTCTGTTGGATATGGGCTTGCGGGCTCTCCCTTTCTACTGCATCGACGTGTGTTGGCTCGACACCCAAACCTCATCCCGTGCACAGAAGGTGCAGAACGGTTATTTCAGATTTGAAGCGTAACACGGTTGCAGCAGGCTAAACTACTTCCCAGTCCAAACGCTTCAGCGTACACATTAACCAGGCCAAAACTTGGACGAACAAACTATTCGCCGCCCAGAAACTTCATGCCAGCGATGGGGCCTCGGCGGCAGACTCGGCTGCCTGAAACAAAGCCACAGACGCCCTGGGCTCAGACTCCAGGAGACAGACCCAGCCGAGCGCCCGGGCGCCGGTGTCAGCACACGGCGCGGAGGGGACGGACTGGATGCACTCCCGCCCCGCGGGACGCG